ATTGTTAGTGGCAAAACACCCTTCTCCCTTCTACTACTAGGCTCCTGCAACCTTTTAAGATGCTCTGGAACATGTGCTCTGTTTGTCTTTCTTGAATTTAAAGTGCATTTCTGCATAGCAATCATTTTACCTGTCCCTGCAAGCCATGCTGAAGGTGGAAGTCCACCTGACGACTCTGCTGACACCTTAGACAGAAATTTGTCAAAGTCAGGGGCATGTCAGTGACAGATGCAAAGAAGAGCATCTTCTGCTGCTGCTTAGCCTGTTTTCCAGTAGTTAGGTACTGAATGGTCTAGGAGTGACCTGCCAAAAAAAAGTCAGAGCTATGACTTTTGCTTTTAGTTCTCATGGACTGGGAGAAAGAAAAAAGCAGCCAGCAGGAAGGCAGAGTGAGTCCAAGTAAAAATCTGGAGAAAAAGTGGACGGAATAGGAGTGGGGAGAGGGCAGCAGCCAAGACATCTGGATCTGGTACTGACTCCCTTTTCCCTTCTATTCTATAATCACCTACAGACTGTGACATGAAATACAGAACCTCCCTCATTTCTATGTCTCACTGCTAAGAGAGACTCTCTTGTGTTTTGTTCTAGGATGAACTAAAAAGTGGCTTCACTACAAAGAAAGCTTCCAGCCGCGGTATTGAAACAATTTATTGGGAAGGTGCAGGTCCCCACAACATCACTGGAGCTTCTTTCCTGTCAAATAGCTTCAAAATGAAGAGAACCTTTGAAAAAAATCCACTATGTTACATATAGTATATCACACTGATACAGACCGAATCACAGCTGAAGTATCAAGACATGGAAAGGGATGTGAAATGGAGCTGCTCAGAACTTGAGTATACTTCATACTGCTGTACCACGAACATAAATTCAGCTGCTACTATGGTTTGCACAACCTAGACTTCATTCCACAGACCAAAGAGCAAGAGCAAGATCATTGAGAGATAAAGGAAAAAAAAAGCTGTCACCAGCAGGACTTCAGCTTCATTACTTAATTGTTTGATCTCATACAAGTTGCTCCAACAAAATTTTAGAGAACTGGTTACTATTCCAAGTTCCCCAGTTTCTATGTACACAGTGCAAAGCAAGAAGACAAATTTGGCAAAGTAACAACAAATGTGCCACTCAAAAGTGCAGGAGGTGCTTATTAGTGGGAAAAAAAAAACGCCAGGACAAACATCTTAACCTGAGAATTCAAGATAAAGAGACCATTCTAACAACTTAGCAGTTTATTTCTGTGCTTCATTTCCCCATTAGTGGATAAATATGGTTGATATTCTCTTTGAATATTCATGACACTTCAGAAATAAAAACTTAAACACATAGAAGAATTTCATAAAGAGAACTCGGTTTAGGTCCAGACAAAAAAGCACAAGGAGAATTTAGCAGCTCTAGGTTAGTACCTGTAAGAACATGCATTTAACCCCAAAGGTTAGAAAATACATTGATTAGATACCAAGTTGGCAAAATAATCAGTAAGGGACTCACAAAAAAATCACGTGATCATGTAACTAAATGCATTATGGTAGGACAACAATGTGGTCCCTTCTGACTTCTGCTAAAGAAGCAGCATTACCAGCAAAATACTCAGTGGGTTTGTTTTTCAGCAGTAAATATAACCAAGTACCTTTGACTTTAAAGAAAGTGAATTTGCATAGCAGAACAGGAACCTGTCCTGTATGGTCTCTAGTATATCTTCACAGCATCAATGGTACTGCAGAAACTACATTCCTGACTACAAGGGGCCAGCAAATAACCAACTGAAATGGCTGATTAGAAAACAATATTTTATTTTCTCTGAAACAATAACAATATTCAAAGATGGGAAATGATTAATGAAAAAGATGACTTAAGTTGCACTTAGTCCCTTTATCTGACTCAACTCCAAGTGTTTTCAAAACAGCAAGTGAGATGCAGGTAGTATTGCACAGATTCAGATATTCAGATTAAAGAACAAGTTGGGTCATTTTGGAGTGCAATCCCAACTAAATGACAGGCTCCCCATCCAATACTGGACAAGTCATCACCTGACCTATTAATGTCTCTTAGACATGATGCACATTCATGACACAAGTGTCATTCATCTTGATGTCTGCTTATGCAATTGTATGTGACCATACCACGATTCTCCTTGTCATCAGGTACAGAATGGCTCTTCATCCTTTTGTGGATAACACTGAGATATTTTTACTGGGGCTGTTTCAAGGTCAAGGAGTTTGTCAGTATGACCCAAGAGCTAATTCCACAAAGACAAGTGAAAAGCAAAACACCCCAAACCATTTCAAGGCGTTCTTTCTAGCAATACCACAACAAGCATTCTGGTTTATCCCACACTGGCATGCCATTCTTCTTAAGAAAGGCCATGTTCACACCACAACATGTTATTACAACAGACGAAGGGTACAGAAACCTGACAGGAGCGGTCCAGAGTTCAACCCCTTTTTGCTTTAGCACAGTATTTAACACCATCTCAACACAGAGTATGTTCTTCCTTTTCTCTGTGACCCTCAAACAATGAGTAATGATACCTTGATATCCTATGCCACAGCCCTCTAGAGAAGGGGAGGAAGCTTACACTTTCTGTTCATAATATTCATAATGAATGTAGGGCCAGGGACTTAGCAAGTGACTTGAGTTTACACAGAGATGAGAAACATTAGAGATGAAAAGAAAAGCAAACAAAAAAGGACCAGCCAGCTTAGATAACTACAGATACACAAAAATAGATACAGCTGGATTTAAGCCCTTTCTGCAATATTATTTATTTACCTACCCTTGTAACAGTGAAAATTTCTCATTTTGACTTTTGATGTTTATTTCCTTACAAAATTTTCCCTGCTAGAAGCCTTTTTATAAGTTAGAAATTTTAAGATAAGAACTGACTATTAGTTGTATGTGATGGTTTTGTCTCCGTGTCAAAATTGGCTGGTGTAATTATTCAGTTACTGCTGCATCACCAACTTCTCACTCTGCGGTTGTTATTCTGGAATAAAACTGACTATTGTAAAATACTACAGTAACACTTTTCTTAAAAAGCAAAGCCATTAATCACACACTTTTCCTGGAACCAGTGCTTCCCAAAACTTACACTTTGTATATAATCTTTAAATGTAAACCTTTACCAATACAATGCTAACCAAAATAAAATTTACTATGCTGTTAAAACTCATCTCCATTGCTGTCATCCCACATACAATCTTTGTATTACTTATTTTAAATAATCTTCTAGAAATGAGACATTTTCTTATGAACTTATTACTGAAAGGTAGTTTCCCTTAATAAACACTTCATAACAGACCACAAAAACCTACGGGAGTATATTTAACTCTCCCTGCACTTAGGGCAGCCTGAAACATCTGTAGTGTAAGAATGCAGAAGAGCAAAGTAAGCAGGGTAAGAAGTTCACAAGGTTTGAAAAGCTGGGGGGGGGGGGGGGGCTCGGTGGGGGGGGGGGGGGGGGGGGGGGTCCTGTGGATACAGGACAGGATTTTCTAGTTTCTCCTGGTGACAAGCAAGAGCACTAAAAGCTCAGAAGCACATGAGGGTGCAATGACAGAAGAGCAAGTGGAAAAAAGGCCCATCATTCACTGACTTCAAGCCCAGTTATTCCAACCAACCCCACAGTTGTATCCATTTTCAGAACCAGAACCAGGCCCTCAACTACGAATTAAATAATTCAGCAGCATACTTGACAATTCGACATTTTGATACCTAGCATAAGGAATAAGCAAAGGACGAGCAAACACCAAGTTAGGTGCAAGGCACCATCTACCTCTAACTTTATTAAGACAGATTTCAGCCCCAGCCCAGAAACGGTGCATTAGGAGGTCACAGGTGACATTTGGGAAAAACACAAATTGCCTTGCCTCGGCTGACCTAGTTAAAATTAAAGGACTGCAGCTATAATTTTTTTGTCATGGCATGTATTAGTGTCAAGCCTCTCGTTACACGCTGCTAGCGCCTAGCAAGGCGGGCGGCAAGTCCTCGCCGCGGATCTCCAGCAGCAGGGCCTCCCCGGGCCGCCCACCCGCGGGGCCCTGCAGGGGCGGAGGGGCCCGGTGCCACCCTCCAGGCTCGGCCCGCCTTCTGCCAGCGCCGGAGCGCTCCCGGCGGCCGCGCAGCCCCGGCTCCGCTTCCAGCGGGCACGGGGAGCCGCGGAAAAATCCCCACACCACCGAGCCCGGCCGCTCAGGGGCCGCCCAAGTTTCTGTCTCTGGGGAAAGGCGGTCTCACGGCCGGCTCCCTCCCGAGGAGCGGGCTGCCAGCCCCGCGGTGCCCGGAGAGCGGGAATCGGACGGCGGCGGGGGCCCCTCAGCCCCGCACGGCTCCCCCGGCGCGGCGGGGCCGCGGGCGCTCCCTCGGGAGGCGCCGCCCCCCGCCCCCGGGGGCCCTGCCCGGATGGGCGCCGGAGTTGGTACATACGGGTCTGCCGCGGGAGGCGAGGAGAAGGGTGTAGTTTGTTTTAAACATGGCTTGCCTCTCCCCTCCTCCCTTTTACTCGGAGCCATCGCTCCGGCGCGGCGGGAAGCGGCGGCGGCGGCGGGATCCGGCCGCCCCGGGTGGGGGCTGCCTCCTCCCCGCCGCGGCGCCGGAGTTTGCGAGCAGGAAACTCCTCCCGCGGGGGCCAGGGGCGAAGCTGCAGCCGCAGCAGCGCTTCTCCCCAGCGGTGGAGGGGGAGGAGGAGAAGGAAGGTGGGGGCTGGAGTTGTGATAGCGACTTCACCTCCCGGGGAGCGAGGCGACACCGCCCCGCGCGGCACCGCGAAAGTAAACAGGCGGCGGGGAGCGGCGGGGCGGGCTGTGAGGGGGCTTGCAACAGGCAGCAAAATGCCCGGGCTCGGGAGCCATCCGCAAACCCCAGCGCGGAGCGGCGGCGGGAGAGCGGCAGGAGAGCAGCGGACGTCCCCGGCCCCTGTCGCACGTTTCACCCGCCGGCCGCCGCCCGGCCCCCCCGACCCCACCCGGGGAGGCAGGACCCGCCGCACCCCCGGGGCGCCTCACCTTTCTCTTCGGCATAATGTCCCTGCTCCGGGCCGCCAAAGTAAAGCGACCGAAAGAAGCTCCGGCAGAAGCGCGGGATCCGCCCGGCGGTGGCGGCGGCAGCGGCGGCGACACCGGCGTGGCTGGTGCCCGCAGCTGTGCCCGCGCCCGGTGCCCG